GCAAGGAGCAATATTAACGCCTCCACAGGAAAGTGATGAGACTCTGAGAGAAGAAGTGACAGTAGGGATGGGAAGAGTCAGCAATGCTTCTCAGGAAATGCAGAATTTGCTCAATGAGAATAATGGCAGATGTAAATACAGTAGCAGGTTTTCCATTGGACCACAGTAAGTTCCTGCCAGACTGATGGTGGTTAAATGAGCTGTCATAAATTGAGTATCTCTCTGTTTCACACTGGGCTAGACATTTTAAAAATCTGATCTCATTTTTCTTCACAACTCCAGAGATTCTCTGATTACAGAATTGGAACCGGGAACACACATTGGAGACGAACCTGTGGCTAGAATGGGCATCTCAGTGCAGATGCTGATGGTGGCAAAGTTATGTTCCGTAAAACACCCCTACCCTGCTTGGGGAGGTCATGTGGCCATGCTTTAAAGACTAGACAGTTTGCTAATAGCAGTGGGAAAAAAAAAAAAAACAGATATTAGAAAATACAGTTTGTGGTCGAATGTTTGCAGTGTTGCCCTGTTTTCAAAAAGGCCATTTGGCTAGTAAACTCAGTTCTTCACAACTTTTCCAAAAATCAGGGTGGAGAATGGAGTTTTCTTAATGGCCAAACTCTTGTGTAAGTGTGGTTCTAATTTACTGGACAGTAGTTTGGATTTTCACCAGGGTCCTAATTTCATTCCTTGCAGACCTAATCATTCAGTAAGTTGTAAACTGGTTTCTCAGACGTTGGTGATGAAATGCAGAGTCAGGGATAAGCATGGGGTCCAGCTTCCAGAGCTGACATAGGGAGAGAAGGAAGTAATGTAAACAGAGGAAGAGGCAGCCTGGGTACACCTAGGAGAAAGGATAACTGTTTCCAGAAGAAAAAGATACTTGAAGGAGAGAGCACATACTAAGTAGCAAATTTAGGAGGGGCAGAGACAAGCAGCATGGTAAGAATGAAGTGTCAGGGCACTCGCTGATTCATCTGTTCCACAAAATGTATTAAGTGCCTTGGAGATGCTAAGCTCTGTGCTCAAGTCTGGGCAATGGAAATACACAAGACATAAAATATGTAGGTGAAAATGCTGATCTGATATTTCCTGCCTTGCCCCTGCTCTAAAGACTTAAAAGATGGCCTTTCCTCCTCACCAAGGCATCCTCTCCAACACCACACTTGAGGGGCAGCAAGAGAGAGGGTGGGAACACCAGCGTACTGCACCTGAGTGTCACCACAGCTGTAGAGCGTGATGGGGGTAGGTTGCCCTTTAGCTTAGGAGATACTGGAGCCTAGAGTCCCTTCTGTTCCATATTTGCTGTAGCATGCAGGAATTGCTGGTGATTTTTGATAGCAGCACAGACATTTTCTTGAAACACCTGTAAGTCTGGAATCATTATCATTGGAGCAGTATTTCCTGGGGTCCACTTCTTTGTGAGGGAAACTAGGAAAAGCTACAGAAGATGGAAGTGAAGCGAGTCCTTAACCTCCAGAGGGAGTTACAGCCAGGTGAACGTGGACAGAGAAGAGATTCCTAGAGGCTTCTGGGAGAGGATTCTCTTACTTCTTAATGATAAATTCCTAAATAAATGACACTAAAGCACATTAGTTAAAGAGAACAGTCTAAAACTACAGTTCACTATACTAAGTTGTTGATAAAAAGACAGCTGCACAGACAGTAAAACTATATTCTGGAAGTTGAATTCAGGACATTGCTTTTG